TTGTAACATGAAAAGCAAAAGCTCACATTGCGTTCTCAGTTGTGAGCTTGTAATTGTTAACAACAATGAATCATCATGATAATAAAGATTAAGATCCGATTTTGTTGCACGAAAATATTCAAATTTTTCAAAAAAAAAAGTGGGGACGGCCGTCCTATTTATATGTCTTGGATTTAATAAAACAGACTACTGTCTTGGCGCCTTCTATGAAGAAGATGCAATCCCAAACCCGACTTAAAATAAATGAATTTTTGTTCTCGCATAACATGGTGCATTGTGTTCTCAGTTGTGAGCTTGTTCGCATTATTCAACATCCCCATAAGATAGTTGGAGTAAAGTGTAATTAGGTAATACTGGGTTGTTTTCTTTGCTCTCTGTTATCAAGCTGTCAATATTTTTCATTTCATTAGAGTCATTAGGAGTGTTCTCGTCAGTTGATGTTTATTTAAATTAGGAGCATCATAAATCATAATTAGTGATCTTGCTCAAAACAATCAACTACAAAAGGATTGTACAAGGCTGTGTGCCCGGTATTATACTGAAATAAAAAGGCAAAATTTGACTTTGGGGGCCAGATTATTTAACAGCATACCTTAAAATTTTTCTTAAAGCAGGTACATATGATAAAGAAGTTATATCTCAAATTTGGTGGTGGTTGCTAAACAACAAGAGTATCAAATGGGGATAGAAGTCATTCGATTATAAAATTTTACTGGTAGTTTAAAAAATTTTTTTTACAAAATAAATTGGACGTGTCTCAATTTATAACTCGTGCAAAAATTAAAATCATTAATAATATTTTGTCGAGGTCATCATGTGATTTATATCATTTTGCAGAAGTAATAACCCTCAATATAATACGCACTGTAGAGAAAGCAGTAAAGTAATGTGATTTTATCATTGAAGCATCAAATTAGAATAATAATAATTAATACCGTGGGACTGACAAATTACACACACATCCAGTAAGAATTGCCATTACAAATAAAGCATCAACTAATTTTTGTAAGTTAACTTCTTAGTTACAATATTTTGAAGGTCTTTTTTTGAAGATTAAATCATCAAATCATTAAATCAATTTAATTATGTTTAATGATTTTTTTAATCTATTGTGATTATGATAAATTATTAGTTATAAAAATAACATTTTTTTCTCACTAAAAAAAAATATAATTATAACAATAATAAAATTGAAATTAGAAATGTATCAATATAAAACTAATAATTTTCAAGAACGACTATTACTAGAAAAAAGAGAAAGGGAACAGCAAGAACAAGAAGAATATGAAGAAGAATATGAAGAAGAATATGAAGAAGAATATGGAGAAGAATATGGAGAACAACGAAAAAAAGTAGAATCAAAAATAATAGAAACTTATAAATATGGAAAAGAAGCTATTTCAGGAACATCAGGATTAGCAACAGGCGTAATTACTTCAACAGGCTCTAAAATTATTGAAACTACTGAAGACACAATTAGTGAAACTAAAGGAGTTATTGGTTATGCAGCACAAAAAGACAAAGAGGTTGCTACACATCCTATATATTATATGCAAAAATCAACATCCTTCTTTTGGGGAAAATTTCCACCTTTGAGTTGGTTTACTTATGGAGTGATAGCATTAAATGCCATACCTTTAACAATCTTATTGATTTTTCTTTTTATCACAACAAGTATTGTTGTGTTAGTTACTGGCACTGGAATCTTTTTGGCCGAAGGATTTTTCATTGGTGTTGGATCATTTTTCTTGATTCCTGTATTCATTATAATGATTTTTGCATCATTTGTTACTGCTTTTTTCACTATTTTTGGCTGGACTTTTTACAAAGTTGTTAGATATATATTACACACTTTTGACTTAATTGTAGACGATGATACAGCAACATTATCTTTTGATGCTCAACAGATCCTTTCTAAAACTAGTGATAAATATTTCAAAAACTTGTATATAATTAACTGATTAATCAAAAAATAAAAACTTGTGAGGAATCCCATACTGCAAAATTTTCTAATAATAATTTGATTCTTGCTGCTGTTGATGATATTTATCATTAATAATATACAAATTTTACCACTAAACCATCTTCACTATTGTTGATGCTATCAAACGTTGGATTATTTACGAACCAGTATTACTCTTTATAACTAACTATTACCTTTTCTAGAATCAAGTCATTGAGTTTTTAAATCATGTGCTTTTAAAGCTATCAAACTAATGTTAGATGAATCAACATTTGTGGTATTAGCACACCAAAGATCCACAATTGTTGCTTTTTACCAAAGTACTTTGTTTTAAATGAAAATAAAAATAAAATAAAAGGTTTATTTAAAAATAAATATTTTCGATTTTAATTGAATCATTTATTTGTTCTCCTCTGCCTTTTCAAACAATGACTTGTCTATCCCAATTGCCAATTTTTAATAAGTTGGTTGTATGTAATGTCTACTTGTTTTTTTGGAAAACGAAAATATTTCTGTTCAAATTTCAATTTTTTTATTATCTAACAAATTTCAAGCCAGCGCAATAAAGAAAAAAAAAACGACTCATCACAAGGTTTTACCCTTTGATTTTGATCTCATCCTTCCCCAAAAATTCAGTTTACTAAAGTTGAGAAACAGGACGTTTAGAATATTCGTGCTGATTCGTGCTGATTCATATTGTAACTGAACTGAACTGAATATTCTTTACAAATGAATTATTTCCCGTGAAACCAAACATTTCAAAATTGGGTAAAGTCGTTAGATTAGGGAAACATACAAAAAATAAGAAAATATAAAAATCTACACAAAAATTACAACATTTAGTAGGGCACCATAACACGGAAACCTTTTCTTCTTTAATTAAATTAATAAATTAATTATCAAAAGAGTAATTACATCAACTGAATCAAGCTTCCATTATCTTAATTCCAATATGTATTTTCTTTATAATTTGCATTATTTCTTGATTTAAAAGCAGTATATAAATATGAAAATAGGAATTCAATTTTTAAAATAAAATATTTGTTTCAATATGGATCAATTATAAATGGACTTTTAGCGCCATGTGGTAAGCCAGTCGGTCTTATGGCTCCAACACCTTTTTTGTCTTTGTCTTTTTGTGGTATATGCGGTTGGAGTGGTATTAAATCTGTCAGATTCATAGATGATGGGTGAACTTATTGGAAATATGGTCTAACTGAAGTTGCTTGATTTTTTTCTAGTTTAATCTGTGATAAAGAATTGATACATATTAAATTGTATTATGCAATGCATCAGTATAATATTTTTATTTCAAGACATTAATTTATTTCAATTTATAATAATAATTTAACTGTGAACCAATTTATTTGATTATAAATTTAAATACATATTTATAATAAATTTAGCTGCGAACCAATTTATTTAAAACAATTGGATATAAAGATATAAATTTCAATGCTCCAAGAACCCGATCAGCACAAGCATTTATGAAATAATTTATTGACTTACTTTGAATGTCCACAACAAATTTAAATACTCGTATAATTTGTCATGATCATTAAATAATACTGGAACGGTGACTTTCGTTATACGTTCAAATAAGAAAAATTCCAACTGAAATCATCATCATTGACCATAGCTCCATACGATCCTCTTTATAGATAAATATATTATGTTAATT